CCAATTAAAACTAGGTTTTAGAAAGATATACGAGGGAGTTTAGCAGCATCAGCCGTGGACTCCATCAAACATATCATTCATTTGGCCTGTTCATATAAGGATCACAATTTCTCCTCACCTGTTTTAGTTCTGGTACATCTTCATCATGATGTGCAAAGCAATTGTAAATCTTCCGACCCCTAATCAAGTGTATGGTAGACCCCTTATTCCTAATTCTGGTATTCATTACCCATTTGCTCCCAGGAAAGCTTTTCAGAGATCTGATCGTAGAACCCTGAAGGTACGCATCCGGGAAACTCTTCGTGCTCTTCCGGCACAATTTTGGCAAAAGAAATTTTATCGGAGCAACAGGTTTCATGAAGATTCTTATCAGAGAAAAGGACTGCTAAGCAGTTATTCAGATACAGGGGAAAGTTCTGATCTATCATCTTATAGCTCTACAGATTTACCGGGGGTTGAGTATGAAGTTTTCTTGAGCTTCAGAGGCCCCAATACACGCAAAGGATTTGTGGATTGCCTCTATCATCGGCTTATGGATGCCGGAATCCGTGCTTTCAGAGACAATGATGAGCTCCCAGTTGGAGGGAGGATCAGTTGGCTACTCCAAGCAATCAACAACTCGAAGATATGCATACCCATCTTCTCTAAAGACTATGCAGAGAGTGAATGGTGCCTGCGCGAGTTGGCACAGATGGTGGAATGCAGTAAACCAACTGGGCTGGAAATTCTGCCCATATTCTACGACGTGGAACCATCTGAAGTAAAGCTGAACAAGGGACCATATTTAGAAGCCCTCCGTCAACACAAGAAGAAGAATAAGCCCAATCTTGTGCACCAATGGGAAAAGGCTCTGAAGGAGGTTGGAAAGATCAAAGGCTGGGAGTTAGAAAAGGACACTAATGGGTAACTTTCTCAGGCCCTTGATGCTAATTTGTTTCATTACTTGTGAATTCTATTTGGAATCTTAGTTTAGTTCTCTTAATGAAGGACACAAAACAAAATTGGGGAATCCGCCAAAAAGAAGTACAACCAGAATTTCAGTCTCGACTCCTGTTTATTGAAATTGTCATTTTCTTTGTGTCAAACTAGAGTTTTTAACCTCATCTTACTGTTAAGTGACTGGATGGACTAGAATGGCATAACTCATTCTCTGAAATTCTGTTTGTCTTAATTTGATGATCTTTCTTATTGGAGTATTCTCATCTCTCTTGCCGTCAACTATCCACATAATGCAGGCATGAAGGAAAACTTGTAGAGTTAATAGTTCGAAAAGTTCTGGTTAGCCTGAAGGTGCACCATTTGAATGTAACTGACCAGTTAGTTGCGATCGATGACCACGTGGATAAACTCATGAGAATGCTGAATGTGGGTTCCAATGATGTAAGGATCATTGGGATTCATGGAATGGGTGGCATTGGAAAGACCACTCTTGCCAAGGTCGTGTTTAACCAGCTTTCAAGTCGTTTTGAGTACTGTAGCTTTCTCGCAGACGTAAGAGAAACATCACAGAACAGGGGTCTCGAATTTTTGCAGAATCAACTGATCTCACACATCCTTAAAAAGAAGGGTCCAGAAATTGCTAATGTTGATGAAGGCATCGACAAGATCAAAGAGAGATTCTCCAGTAAGGAAGTTCTTATCCTTCTTGACGATATTGACAAGAGAGCTCAGTTAAATGCGCTCGCGGGAAAGCGCAATTGGTTTGGTCCCGGTAGTAGGATCATTCTTACAACCAGAAACAAAGATGTGCTCAATGTGCCTGAAGTGGATTGGGCATATGAACTTGAAAGGATGGATGAAGATCAGTCCATTCAACTTTTCAGTAGGCATGCATTCAGAAGGGACTGGCCTCCTGATGATTATTTGGCTTACTCGAATAAGGTGGTGGACATCACTGGAGGCCTTCCTTTAGCTCTTGAGACCATAGGTTCTTTTCTGTCTGGCAAAATAAAAAAAGTTTGGGAGGACACATTGAAAAAGTTGGAAAAAGTACCTCGCGATGAGGTTCGGACAAAGTTGAGGATAAGCTACGATGCTCTAGATCACTGGCAGAAGCAGATCTTTCTTGACATAGCATGTTTGTTCATTGGATTTGACAAGAGAATTGTAGTTCACTTATGGGATGATGCTGATTATTTCCCAGAGGAAGGTATTGAAGTCCTTCGTCTCATGTCTATGATAAAGATTGGTGATGACAACAAGCTGCGGATGCATGACCAGCTTAGAGACCTCGGTCGAGAAATTGTTCGACAAGAAAGTAGCACGGAATTTGGGAGGCGCAGTAGATTATGGAACCATGAGGAAGCATTGCAGACATTAATAAATCACAAGGTAAAAAAATTTCCTTGTTGACCGTTGCCATAAGTAAATAACCATCCACTTCTAGGGGCTTACACACTCTGCTTGCATGATGTCAAATGCTGTTACGAGCTTTTACCAATGGCCTCCTTAAAATGCTCCAAAGTAGGAACAAGCTATTTTGCTGATCTATACTGTAGAGTGATCGTGGCTTTTGTCCTTATTCTGTTTCTTGTTGCATTTGTAGGGTACTGAAATGGTTGAAGCCCTCTGTCTTAAGTTTGATAGCAAGTCACTGTACTATTTCACTCGAGTTGACTTTGCATGTCTATCAAACTTAAGGTTCCTCCAGGTCAATGGCGTGAACCTTTCTGGTAACTTTGAAAATCTTTTTCCACAGTTAAGGTGGCTTTGTTGGCATTATTGCCCTTCAAATTTCTTGCCTACGAACTTTTATCTGGTAAATCTAGTCATACTTGATCTCTCTTGGAGCAAGATCAGCGAATACTGGGAGGGCTGGCATCAACTCAAGGTAGGACATGCCTTGCAACTCCCATGATCTTATTCAAGGTTCCATATTTCAGTATACCTATGTATTTATTGCTCTCGCTGTTGCTATTCTTTGCAGATGTCGAAGAACCTAAAGGTTCTTAATCTTACGGGATGTACATGCTTATATAGGAATCCTGATTTTTCTCCCTATGAAGCTCTCAAGATATTGATTCTTGAAGGCTGTGAAAGTTTAGTGGGAATCGATGCATCCATTGGTGGCTTAAAACATCTTGTTTCATTAAACATCAAGGACTGCCATTCGATCGAAGAGTTGCCTGAAAAGTTGGGCTCTATGGAAGCTTTGACAGAGCTCATTGTTGACGGAACCTCTGTACAAGAAATTTTTATCATGCCCGGAGGTATGAAGAAGCTCGAAACTCTCAGCGCCCGTGATTGCAAGTCATTGACCCAAATTAGGAGCTCCATCAGCCAGCTGGAATCTCTCACATACCTTGCATTAGATAATGCAAAAATCACTCATCTCCCAGACTCTATTGGAGAGCTAGTAAAACTCGAGCGCTTATCTCTGAAAGGTTGCAGGTCAATAAACAAACTTCCAGACACCATCGGGCAACTAGAGTCTTTGGTGGAGCTGGATCTATCCAGCACAGGGATGACTGAGTTACCCGATTCGATAAGCAACCTGAAAAACCTGAAAGTGTTGAATGTCGAGGGAAGTTACATAGAGCAAATTCCAGTTGTTATTGGGATGCTAGAAAAGCTTGAGGAGATGCATGCCAAGGGTTGCAACCTGGAGGGTGACATTCCTAGTGATATAGGGGAACTTGCATATTTGAGAATCTTGAGCTTATCACGTAATCGCATCCGTAGTTTACCGGAAACTATTTGCGGACTCTCTCATCTGCAGACCCTTGATTTGGAGTTGTGTAAAGAGCTTAAGGGGCTTCCAGAGCTTCCTGATAGTTTGATTAATTTACGAGTTAGTTCTCAGTCAATGGAGAAAACCCCAAATCTCTCCAATCTGATTAATCTGAGGCATTTGTATTTGTCTGACGGCTCTCATTTACAGGGGTTTCCCACCAATGACCCAACCAAGCTGGTTCAAGATCCTAACCCCATGTGGCTTGGAATGTTATCCAAATTGGAGACATTGCAGCTTTTGCTCTCAAAAATCACTACATTACCAGCTAATCTGGGTTTGCTTTATCGACTCAAGAAACTGGTATTGTCCTGCGTAGATCTGCAATCCTTTATTCAACTTCCCTCTAGCTTATCTACACTATATATAGCGAACTGCAAGTCTATGACAATTGTTCCTGATCTTTCAAACTTGAGAAATCTATCGGAGTTGGAGCTCCTTCACTCGGCTATATTAGAGATTCGGGGCCTTGAAGCGTTGGAGTCGCTTCAAGTTTTCGATGTGACATACTGCAAATTGAGAAGGCTTGATGGGCTTGAACGGTTAGAATCCCTGAGACGCTTGGTTCTACGTAACTGTGATTCCCTTGACAGATTACCCAATCTCTCGAACTTGAAGAAGCTGAAAGAATTCAAGCTACGAGACTGTGAGAAGTTGCTCCAGATCCAAGGACTTGATAAATTGGAGTCATTGGAAGAACTGCAAATATCCAACTGCAGATCCATTGGGAGTTTACCTGATTTGTCAAACTTGAAAAAGATGAAAGTTCTGGAAATTAAGAATTGTGATGAGATCAAGGATATTAGAGGGCTTGACAGATTGGAATCCCTGGTGGAATTGCAGATTTCGGAGTGCAGATCCTTGGAAAGACTACCAAATTTGTCGAACTTGAAGAAGCTGAAGGACTTGGAGATCGAGAGTTGCGAGAATATAAGCTACATTGAAGGCCTTGACCAGTTGGAGTCCTTGGAGAACTTGAGAATTATTGGCTGCAAATCTGTGGAAAAGTTGCCAGACCTATCGAACTTCAAAAGCCTGAAATCTCTGTACATAGAAGATTGTAAAAAGATACGTGAAATCGTAGGTCTTGGGTTCCTGAGTTCCATCAAAGGAGATAACTGTTTTTAGGAATGACACTGCTTTATTTTCTTCAAATTAAGCAATGGTAAGCTGTTTGTGCAGGAAAATAGGCAAGAATAAAGAATTTAAACGTTGATTTTTTTCTTTTTTTGATGGTGTCCTCTATTTTTGTACAACTGTATATGCAAGAAGACGGGATGAATTTATTTACTGTATAAAGTCCAAGGTGCTTATAAGATTCCCTTTGTTTTCTCAATGGTTCATGGGAGATTTTTTCTTGCAGTTCCCTGTCATACAGAAACACAGTAATGGAGTTGAAAGCTCAATGTATGAACCTTCTTGTATCTATCAGCACTTAGCAGGGTAATGATTTCCCTTTACACAGCTATTTGATTCTGAGTTTATTATGCTAGAAAGTAAATAGAATAGTTACTGCATAATCTCTTATAGACTGTGCTAATTCCCTGTTTAATTTCATCAATGCATATCATCCAGACTATGTCAATGCTTTCTTTAAAGCTGAAGACATTTCACTGGAAATATGGAAATACGAGCATCATACATTTTCTTCACATGAATTGTAAGTATTAGTTGCAAGCATATACTTATTTTGTGTTCAGAATTCACTATACAGTTTCGTTAGATGTGCATAACTGCAAATCTAGAGTATCCTTCTGATCTCTACTTCTTTATTCTTGCGCGTGGTAACACACATTGTGCTGATGCAGTTCCATGTTTTTCAGGATACGTCTGCTAGCAATGAAGTCGTCAGCTCCACCAATCATTTGTTGCTGCAAGAGCAAACGCCTGTAAACTGAACTATGAAATGGTATCTCAGCAGTCTTCTCCTGTTCACAATTGTGTATAATATTTGCCAAAAGGTAAGTTCCAACCTGTAGTTTGATGTTAACGATAATGATTCTCAATGATGTTTCTACTTGCCTGTGGAGTCTCGACATTATGATCTGTACAGTCTGAAGGTATTGCATCTGATTTAAGCACATCATCGAAACTCGATGTTGAGTGCAAAGTGAAGATTCTTATGTCGTCTTTCAAGCACACGAAGTGAAGATGCGTCTCCCCAAGCACACTAGCTGCAGAAGTGATTGTGTACATAACCTTATAAGCCTTCAAATTACAGGAGTCGGTCTTTTGTAGATCTAAATGTAATCCATCTAGTTATTTTCGGCATTGTCGATCTAGTAGCCTTCACATATTTTTAAGGTATGAGGCTCTATGAATAAATAAGAGATCTGTTAAAATTGTGGGTATCACTATAGTATTTATGCATATTATATCGCTATATTCGTATATTATATCTCAAGGTTATATCAGTCCTTAAACTCATGTTTTTTTTTAAAATTCTTTATGAGATTTGTTTTTTAATCATCTGACAAAGTTATTGTCTTTATGATCATTCAAGTTCATTGATGATATAATAGCTCGATATTCTCTAAAAGAGTTCTCGATATAGTCCTAACATACCATAATTTGGAATTAAAAATATGGTAAATATTTCACAGTTTCAGCTCGTAGATTACCAAAGTCAATTTGCATTGTGCATCCGTGATTGTCATTGAGAAGAGAGCGGCCATTTCCGCCATAGCGCGGCCTCTTTCAGCCATTTATATGCCTTGGGCATATACTTCAATGGCTCTTTTCTTTACTCAATCCAGCGATTGATGATTTGTATGAAATTGATGATGCAATGCAATGCCACATGCATTAGATTCTCGTGTTAGTCATGAATTTTGATCTATAGTACTATACAAAGTAGGAAGAAAAAATTTTCTACTTTTAAGGGATTTTAAATATTCTAAAATTTTATTTTGCAACTATTGAATTTGTGAGCAAGCATATGAATTATAATTTTCCGTTATCTCTACACATGAATTGTAATTCTCCGTTATCTCTCACAAGTTTCACAATAGTAATCTAACTTTTCCTTTCCTAAAATAACCTTCCTAAAAAAATTCAAATCTCGAAATATTTTTGTCCTATATTCAAACCTTCCTCAATGTTTTATATGTATGGAAATTTTCTCAATTTTTCTTTTATTTTCCCCCTGCCTCAGTCGGTCTTTCCGTTGAGCTTTCGTTTGTCTTGCAACCGGCGATGGCAATGCACTTCGACGCAGCTGAAAATTCCAGCGCTCACCCCCCCGTATTCCACTCCAACTCGAGCACGGGAGGAGCTGTCCGAGTCTGGAAGATAGCGACGGTTTCCGGGGAAATTTCCGAAGTCTCCACGCCGGGCCTCATTCAAGACTGATTCTTTCTTTGGATTGCGGGATTGCTTCTTGGGATTGGGCTATGTTGTAAAGTCAAAGAGTCCGAGGATATTCAATTTATAGTCCATGTTGTTCCCACGTCGGAAGCATCTGAAGCGAAGTTTCCCTTGTTTTACATACAGTTGAGACATGTTTGCTTGCGGAGATGGTTGGGGAGACATTCTTTTATTGCTTTCTCAAAAAGAATTGAAAATAAATCTTGTTCCTAGTATCTGACTTGTCTGAGGAAATTGCATTTTTAGAAAATTCTTGAACGTTGCACATGAAATTTCCGATACAATGATTAGGAAAGGTAGTTGGGTTTGGCTGAAGTAGTTGGTTTGAACAAGTAATCATGGGAAAAAAGTAAACATTTGTTCTCTCTCTCTCTCTCTCTCTCTCTCTCTCTCTCTCTCTCTCTCTCTCTCTCTCTCTCTCTCTCTCTCACTTAATGTCAAATCCCATATGATGTATTGCGAGGTAGATTCCGGGAAAGTAGAAAGAAAAGTCATGTTGTATATCAGTTCAACAGATTCTGGGGCAGGCTTTTTTCTGCAGGTTGTTGGTGAAAAGGGGGCGCTAGAAGGTTTTACTGTTGAGATCCTCCTAATTTTTCTCGTCTGGTGACTATGCAAATGGATAAAGCCGATGTCATTTTCGAGACCTACATTATAAGGGAAATTTTATTAAGAGATTTGGAGGAAAATTTTTAGAAATGTAGTTAGAGTAGCAACCATTCGGTGAGTTGACTGTTAGAAATCCTAAAACTTCGTCCCCACGAATCTCTGCTATTGGTTCGGAAGGTCTAGACCGTGTTGTGATGGTGATCAAGACAGATAATTTGAATTCTGGCGGTATGACCAATTAAAACTGGGATTTAGAAAGATATGCGAGGGAGTTTAGCAGCATCAGCCGTGGACTCCATCAAACATATCATTCATTTGGCCTGTTCATATAAGGATCAAAATTTCTCCTCACCTGTTTTAGTTCTGGTACATCTTCATCATGATGTGCAAAGCAATTGTAAATCTTCCGACCCCTAATCAAGTGTATGGTAGACCCCTTATTCCTAATTCTGGTATTCATTACCCATTTGCTCCCAGGAAAGCTTTTCAGAGATCTGATCGTAGAACCCTGAAGGTACGCATCCGGGAAACTCTTCGTGCTCTTCCGGCACAATTTTGGCAAAAGAAATTTTATCGGAGCAACAGGTTTCATGAAGATTCTTATCAGAGAAAAGGACTGCTAAGCAGTTATCCAGATACAGGGGAAAGTTCTGATCTATCATCTTATAGCTCTACGGATTTACCGGGGGTTGAGTATGAAGTTTTCTTGAGCTTCAGAGGCCCCAATACACGCAAAGGATTTGTGGATTGCCTCTATCATGGGCTTATGGATGCCGGAATCCGTGCTTTCAGAGACAATGATGAGGTCCCAGTTGGAGGGAGGATCAGTTGGCTACTCCAAGCAATCAACAACTCGAAGATATGCATACCCATCTTCTCTGAAGACTATGCAGAGAGTGAATGGTGCCTGCGCGAGTTGGCACAGATGGTGGAATGCAGTAAACTAACTGGGCTGGAAATTCTGCCCATATTCTACGATGCAGATCCGTCTGAAGTAAAGCTGAACAAGGGACCATATTTAGAAGCCCTCCGTCAACACAAGAAGAAGAATAAGCCCAATCTTGTGCACCACTGGGAAGAGGCTCTGAAGGAGGTTGGAAAGATCAAGGGCTGGGAGTTAGAAAAGGACACTAATGGGTAACTTTCTCTGGCCCTTGCTACTATTTTAGTGCATTACTTCTGAATTCTATTTGGAATCTAAGTTTGGTTCTCTTAATCAAGGAAACGAAACAAAATTGGGGAATCCGCAAAATAGAAGTACAACCAGAATTTAAGTCTCGACTCATGTTTATTGATATTGTCATTTTCTGTGTCAAACTCAAGTTTTTACCTCATCTTACTGTTAAGTCCCTGGATGGACTAGAATGGCGTAACTCATTCTTTGGAGTTCCGTTTGCCTTGATATGATGATATTTCTTATTGGAGTATTCTCATCTCTCTTAACGTCAACTATCCATGTAATGCAGGCATGAAGGAAAACTCATAGAGTCAATAGTTCGAAAAGTTCTGGTTAGCTTGAAGGTGCACCATTTGAATGTAACTGACCAGTTAGTTGCGATTGATGATCACGTAAATAAACTCATGAGAATGCTGAACGTGGGTTCCAATGATGTAAGGATCATTGGGATTCATGGAATGGGCGGCGTTGGAAAGACTGCTCTTGCCAAGGTTGTGTTTAACCAGCTTTCAAGTCGTTTTGAGTATTGTAGCTTCCTCGCAGATGTAAGAGAAACATCACAGAACAGGGGTCTTGAATTTTTGCAGAATCAACTGATCTCACACATCCTTAAAAAGAAGGGTCCAGAAATTACTAATGTTGATGAAGGCATTGACACAATCAAAGAGAGATTCTCCAGTAAGGAAGTTCTTATCCTTCTTGACGATATTGACAAGAGAGCTCAGTTAAATGCGCTCGCGGGAAAGCGCAATTGGTTTGGTCCCGGTAGTAGGATCATTCTTACAACCAGAAACAAAGATGTGCTCAATGTGCCTGAAGTGGATTGGGCATATGAACTGGAAAGGATGGATGAAGATCAGTCCATTCAACTTTTCAGTAGGCATGCATTCAGAAGGGACTGGCCTCCTGATGATTATTTGGCTTACTCAAATAAGGTGGTGGACATCACTGGAGGCCTTCCTTTAGCTCTTGAGACCATAGGTTCATTTCTGTCTGGCAAAATAAAAAAAGTTTGGGAGGACACATTGAAAAAGTTGGAAAAAGTACCTCGCGAAGAGGTTCGGAAAAAGTTGAGGATAAGCTACGATGCTCTAGATCACTGGCAGAAGCAGATCTTTCTTGACATAGCATGTTTGTTCATTGGATTTGACAAGAGAATTGTAGTTCACTTATGGGATGATGCTGATTATTTCCCAGAGGAAGGTATTGAAGTCCTTCGTCTCATGTCTATGATAAAGAATGGTGATGACAACAAGCTGCGGATGCACGACCAGCTTAGAGACCTCGGTCGAGAAATTGTTCGACAAGAAAGTAGCATGGAATTCGGGAGGCGCAGTAGATTATGGAACCATGCGGAAGCATTGCAGACATTAATAAATCACAAGGTAAAAAAATTTCCTTGTTGACCGTTGCCATAAGTAAATAACCATTCACTTCTAGGGGCTTACACACTCTGCTTGCATGATGTCAAATGCTGTTACGAGCTTTTACCAATGGCCTCCTTAAAATGCTCCAAAGTAGGAACAAGCTATTTTGCTGATCTATACTGTAGAGTCATCGTAGCTTTTGTCCTTACTCTGTTTCTTGTTGCATTTGTAGGGTACTGAAATGGTTGAAGCCCTCTGTCTTAAGTTTGATAGCAAGTCACAGTACTATTTCACTCGAGTTGACTTTGCATGTCTATCAAACTTAAGGTTCCTCCAGGTCAATGGCGTGAACCTTGCTGGTAACTTTGAAAATCTTCTTCCACAGTTAAGGTGGCTTTGTTGGCATTATTGCCCTTCAAATTTCTCACCTACCAATTTTTATCTGAGGAATCTAGTCATACTTGATCTCTCTTGGAGCAAGATCAGCGAATATTGGGAGGGCTGGCATCAAATTAAGGTAGGACATGATTTGTGACTCCCGTGATCTTATTTGTAGCTCCATATTCAGTATACCTATGTTTTACCGCTCTCGCTGTTGTTATTCTTTGCAGATGTCGAAGAACCTAAAGGTTCTTAATCTTACGGGATGTACATGCTTATATAGGAACCCTGATTTTTCTCCCTATGAAGCTCTCAAGATATTGATTCTTGAAGGCTGTGAAAGTTTAGTGGGAATCGATGCATCCATTGGTGGCTTAAAACATCTTGTTTCATTAAACATCAAGGACTGCCATTCGATCGAAGAGTTGCCTGAAAAGTTGGGCTCTATGGAAGCTTTGACAGAGCTCATTGTTGACGGAACCTCTGTACAAGAAATTTTTATCATGCACGGAGGTATGAAGAAGCTCGAAACTCTCAGCGCCCGTGATTGCAAGTCATTGACCCAAATTAGGAGCTCCATCAGCCAGCTGGAATCTCTCACATACCTTGCATTAGATAATGCAAAAATCACTCATCTCCCAGACTCTATTGGAGAGCTAGTAAAACTCGAGCGCTTATCTCTGAAAGGTTGCAGGTCAATAAACAAACTTCCAGACACCATCGGGCAACTAGAGTCTTTGGTGGAGCTGGATCTATCCAGCACAGGGATGACTGAGTTACCAGATTCGATAAGCAACCTGAAAAACCTGAAAGTGTTGAATGTCGAGGGAAGTTACATAGAGCAAATTCCAGTTGTTACTGGGATGCTAGAAAAGCTTGAGGAGATGCATGCCAAGGGTTGCAACCTGGAGGGTGACATTCCTAGTGATATAGGGGAACTTGCATATTTGAGAATCTTGAGCTTATCACGTAATCGCATCCGTAGTTTACCGGAAACTATTTGCGGACTCTCTCATCTGCAGACCCTTGATTTGGAGTTGTGTAAAGAGCTTAAGGGGCTTCCAGAGCTACCTGATAGTTTGATTAATTTGCGAGTTAGTTCTCAGTCAATGGAGAAAACCCCAAATCTCTCCAATCTGATTAATCTGAGGCATATGTATTTGTCTGACGGCTCTCATTTACAGGGGTTTCCTACCAATGACCCAACCAAGCTGGTTCAAGATCCTAACCCCATGTGGCTTGGAATGTTATCCAAATTGGAGACATTGCAGCTTTCGCTCTCGAAAATCGCTACATTACCAGCTAATCTGGGTTTGCTTTATCGACTCAAGAAACTGGTATTGTCCTGCGTAGATCTGCAATCCTTTAGTCAACTTCCCTCTAGCTTAACTACACTATATATAGCGAACTGCAAGTCTATGACAATTGTTCCTGATCTTTCAAACTTGAGAAATCTGTCGGAGTTGGAGCTCCTTCACTCTGCTATATTAGAGATTCGGGGCCTTGAAGGGTTGGAGTCGCTTCAAGTTTTCGATGTGACATACTGCAAATTGAGAAGGCTTGATGGGCTTGAACGGTTGGAATCCCTGAGACGCTTGGTTCTACGTAACTGTGATTCCCTTGACAGATTACCCAATCTCTCGAACTTGAAGAAGCTGAAAGAATTCAAGCTACGAGACTGTGAGAAGTTGCTCGAGATCCGAGGACTTGATAAATTGGAGTCATTGGAAGAACTGCAAATATCCAACTGCAGATCCATTGGGAGTTTACCTGATTTGTCAAACTTGAAAAAGATGAAAGTTCTGGAAATTAAGAATTGTAATGAGATCAAGGATATCGGAGGGCTTGACAGATTGGAATCCCTGGTGGAATTGCAGATTTCGGAGTGCAGATCCTTGGAAAGACTACCAAATTTGTCGAACTTGAAGAGGCTGAAGGACTTGGAGATCGAGAGTTGCGAGAATATAAGCTACATTGAAGGCCTTGACCAGTTGGAGTCCTTGGAGAACTTGAGAATTATTGGCTGCAAATCTGTGGAAAAGTTGCCAGACCTATCGAACTTCAAAAGCCTGAAATCTCTGTACATAGAAGATTGTGAAAAGATACGTGAAATCGTAGGTCTTGGGATCCTGAGTTCCATCAAAGGAGATAACTGTTTTTAGGAATGACACTGCTTTATTTTCTTCAAATTAAGCAATGGTAAGCTGTTTGTGCAGGAAAATAGGCAAGAATAAAGAATTTAAACGTTGATTTTTTTTTCTTTTTTTGATGGTGTCCTCTATTTTTGTACAACTGTATATGCAAGAAGACGGGATGAATTTATTTACTGTATAAAATCCAAGGTGCTTATAAGATTCCCTTTGTTTTCTCAATGGTTCATGGGAGATTTTTTCTTCAGTTCCCTGTCATACAGAAGCACAGTAATGGAGTTGAAAGCTCAATGTATGAACCTTCTTGTATCTATCAGCACTTAGCAGGGTAATGATTTCCCTTTACACAGCTATTTGATTCTGAGTTTATTATGCTAGAAAGTAAATAGAATAGTTACCGCATAATCTCTTATAGACTGTGCTAATTCCCTGTTTAATTTCATCAATGCATATCATCCAGACTATGTCAATGCTTTCTTTAAAGCTGAAGACATTTAACTGGAAATATGGAAATATGAGCATCATACATTTTCTTCACATGAATTGTAAGTATTAGTTGCAAGCATATACTTATTTTGTGTTCAGAATTCACTATACAGTTTCGTTAGATGTGCATAGCTGCAAATCTAGAGTATCCTTCTGATCTCTACTTCTTTATTCTTGCACGTGGTAGCACACATTGTGCTGATGCAGTTCCATGTTTTTCAGGATACGTCTGCTAGCAATGAAGTCGTCAGCTCCACCATTCATTTGTTGCTGCAAGAGCAAACGCCTGTAAACTGAACTATGAAATGGTATCTCAGCAGTCTTCTCCTGTTCACAATTGTGTATAATATTTGCCAAAAGGTAAGTTCCAACCTGTAGTTTGATGTTAACGATAATGATTCTCAATGATGTTTCTACTTGCCTGTGGAGTCTCGACATTATGATCTGTACAGTCTGAAGGTATTGCATCTGATTTAAGCACATCATCGAAACTCGATGTTGAGTGCAAAGTGAAGATTCTTATGTCGTCTTTCAAGCACACGAAGTGAAGATGCGTCTCCCCAAGCACACTAGCTGCAGAAGTGATTGTGTACATAACCTTATAAGCCTTCAAATTACAGGAGTCGGTCTTTTGTAGATCTAAATGTAATCCATCTAGTTATCTTCGGCATTGTCAATCTAGTAGCCTTCACATATTTTTAAGGTGTGAGGCTCTTTGAATAAATAAGAGATCTGGGAAAATTGTCGGTATCACTATAGTATTTAGGGAAAATTTCATTTTGGTACCCAAAGTGGGGCCTTTTTCTCAATTTGGTACCCAAAGTGGACATAGTCCCAAATTGATACCCAAAGTGCCCATTCAGTCTCAATTTGGTACCCAAAGTGCCCATTCAGTCTCAATTTGGTACCTGAGTTCGCCGTCCGGTCAAATGCTCACCGGCCAGCAAGAAATTTATCTTTTCAGGCTATCGGAACAAGATTTTTTTACTTTTTTTTTTTTTTTCTTTTTTCTTTTTTTTCTTTTCCTTTTCCTTTTCTTTTTTTTTCCTTCTTCTCTCCGCCGGGCCACGCCATGGCCGGCGGAGGTCGCGGCTGCCGGGCGAGGGCCGACTCGCCGGATCTCGGCGAGGGCGGCTCGCCCGGGCCGGCGAGGGTCGCCCGCCCGCGCGCCGGGTGAGGCGGCCCTCGCCGGGTCGGCCTCGCCCGACGCCGGCGAGGGCCGACGCTCACTGGGATCCGGCGAGGGCGAGGGTTGCCCTCGCCGGATTCGGGCGAGGGTCACCCTCGTTTGTCGAGCGAGGCGGCCTCGCCTGGCCGGGCGAGGGCTGCCCCGCCGTCGGCGAGGGCCGACGCTGGGCGACTCCGCCGGCCATGGCGTGGTCGCGGAGGGAAGAAGGAAAAAAAAAGAAAAGAAAAAGGAAAAGAAAAAAATGAAAAAGGAAAAAATAAAATAAAAAGTAAAAATACCGCTCCTAGAGCTCAACAAGAAATTCTTGCCTACGGTCCAAAGATTTGATCTACCAGTGAACTTAGGTACCAAATTGAGACTGAATGGGCACTTTGGGTACCAATTTGGGACTATGTCCACTTTGGGTACCAAATTGAGAAAAAGGCCCCACTTTGGGTACCAAAATGAAATTTTCCCTAGTATTTATGCATATTATATCGCTATATTCGTATATTATATCTCAAGGTTATATCAGTCCTTAAACTCGTGTTTTTTTTTTAAATTCTTTATGAGATTTGTTTTTCTATCATCTGACAAAGTTATTGTCCTTATGATCATTCAAGTTCCTTGATGATATAATAGCTCGATATTCTCTAAAAGAGTTCTCGATATAGTCCTAACATACCATAATTTGGAATTAAAAATATGGTAAATATTTCACAGCTTCAGCTCGTAGATTACCAAAGTCAATTTGCATTGTGCATCCGTGATTGTCATTGAGAAGAGAGCAGCCATTTCCGCCATAGCGCGGCCTCTTTCGGCCATTTATATGCCTTGGGCATATACTTCAATGGCTCTTTTCTTTACTCAATCCAGCGATTGATGATTTGTATGAAATTGATGATGCAATGCAATGCCACATGCATTAGATTCTCGTGTTAGTCATGAATTTTGATCTATAGTACTATACAAAGTAGGAAGAAAAAATTTTCTACTTTTAAGGGATTTTAAATATTCTAAAATTTTATTTTGCAACTATTGAATTTGTGAGCAAACATATGAATTATAATTTTTGGTTATCTCTACATATCAATTGTAATTCTCCGTTATCTCTCGCATGTTTAACAATAGTAATCTAATTTTTCCTATCCTAAAATAACCTTCCTAAAAAAATTCAAATCTCGAAATATTTTTGTCCTATATTCAAACCTTCCTCAATGTTTTATATGTATGGAAATTTTCTCAATTTTTCTTTTATTTTCCCCCTGCCTCAGTCGGTCTTTCCGTTGAGCTTTCCTTTGTCTTGCAACCGGCGATGGCAATGCACTTCGACGCAGCTGAAAATTCCAGCGCTCACCCCCCCGTATTCCACTCCAACTCGAGCACGGGAGGAGCTGTCCAAGTCTGGAAGATCGCGACGGTTTCCGGGGAAATTTCGGAAGTCTCCACGCCGGGCCTCATTCAAGACTGATTCTTTCTTTGGATTGCGGGATTGCTTCTTGGGATTGGGCTATGCTGTAAAGTCAAAGAGTCCGAGGATATTCAATTTATAGTCCATGTTGTTCCCACGTCGGAAGCATCTGAAGCGAAGTTTCCCTTGTTTTACATACAGTTGAGACATGTTTGCTTGCGGAGATGGTTGGGGAGACATTCTTTTATTGCTTTCTCAAAAAGAATTGAAAATAAATCTTGTTCCTAGTATCTGACTTGTCTGAGGAAATTGCATTTTTAGAAAATTCTTGAACGTTGCACATGAAATTTCCGATACAATGATTAGGAAAGGTAGTTGGGTTTGGCTGAAGTAGTTGGTTTGAACAAGTAATCATGGGAAAAAAGTAAACATTTGTTCTCTCTCTCTCTCTCTCTCTCTCTCTCTCACTTAATGTCAAATCCCATATGATGTATTGCGAGGTAGATTCCGGGAAAGTAGAAAGAAAAGTCTTGTTGTATATCAGTTCAACAGATTCTGGGGCAGGCTTTTTTCTGCAGGTTGTTGGTGAAAAGGGGGCGCTAGAAGGTTTTACTGTTGAGATCCTCCTAATTTTTCTCGTCTGGTGACTATGCAAATGGATAAAGCCAATGTCATTTTCGAGACCTACATTATAAGGGAAATTTTATTAAGAGATTTGGAGGAAAATTTTTAGAAATGTAGTTAGAGTAGCAACCATTCGGTGAGTTGACTGTTAGAAATCCTAAAACTTCGTCCCCACGAATCTCTACTATTGGTTCGGAAGGTCTAGACCGTGTTGTGTTGGTGATCAAGACAGATAATTTGAATTCTGGCGGTATGACCAATTAAAACTGGGATTTAGAAAGATATGCGAGGGAGTTTAGCAGCATCAGCCGTGGACTCCATCAAACATATCATTCATTTGGCCTGTTCATATAAGGATCAAAATTTCTCCTCACCTGTTTTAGTTCTGGTACATCTTCATCATGATGTGCAAAGCAATTTTAAATCTTCCGACCCCTAATCAAGTGTATGGTAGACCCCTTATTCCTAATTCTGGTATTCATTACCCATTTGCTCCCAGGAAAGCTTTTCAGAGATCTGATCGTAGAACCCTGAAGGTACGCATCCGGGAAACTCTTCGTGCTCTTCCGGCACAATTTTCGCAAAAGAAATTTTATCGGAGCAACAGGTTTCATGAAGATTCTTATCAGAGAAAAGGACTGCTAAGCAGTTATTCAGATACAGGAGAAAGTTCTGATCTATCATCTTATAGCTCTACAGATTTACCGGGGGTTGAGTATGAAGTTTTCTTGAGCTTCAGAGGCCCCAATACACGCAAAGGATTTGTGGATTGCCTCTATCACGGGCTTATGGATGCCGGAATCCGTGCTTTCAGAGACAATGATGAGCTCCCAGTTGGAGGGAGGATCAGTTGGCTACTCCAAGCAATCAACAACTCAAAGATATGCATACCCATCTTCTCTAAAGACTATGCAGAGAGTGAATGGTGCCTGCGCGAGTTGGCACAGATGGTGGAATGCAGTAAACCAACTGGGCTGGAAATTCTGCCCATATTCTACGACGTGGAACCATCTGAAGTAAAGCTGAACAAGGGACCATATTTAGAAGCCCTCCGTCAACACAAGAAGAAGAATAAGCCCAACCTTGTGCACCAATGGGAAGAGGCTCTGAAGGAGGTTGGAAAGATCAAGGGCTGGGAGTTAGAAAAGGACACTAACGGGTAACTTCCTCAGGTGCTTGCTGCTATTTTAATGCATTACTTAGGAATTCTATTTGGAATCTAAGTTTGGTTCTCTTAATCAAGGAAACAAAACCTCAAATTAGGGAATCTGCTAAAAAGAAGTAGAACCAGAATTTCAGTAGTGTCTTGTGTTTATTGATGTTGTCAATTTTTTTTTTTATCTGCAATCATAAATAGTAGGGATAATGATAGGGACAATCTCTGAACTTTGGCCCAATATGCAATTTGGTCCCTGAATTTTTAATTTGTTCAATATAGTCCCTAAACTTTAGCCTGATGTTCGATGTGGTCTCTAAACTTTTAATTTGTTCAATGTGGTCGCTAGACTTTTGATACATGTTCAATTTAGTCCCTAAACTTTATGAAAATGTTCAATATAGTCCTTGAACTTGAATTAATGGAATGACTACATTGAATATTTTCATATAGTTCTGGGACTAAATTGAACATGTACTAAAAGTCCAGGGACCAGATTAAACAAATTAAAAATTCAGGGACCACATTGAACATTAGGTTAAAGTTTAAGGACTATATTGAACAAATTAAAAGTTCAAGGACCCAATTGCACATTGGGCCAAAGTTTAGGGACTCTTTGTGTCTTTTTCCCTAAATAGTAATTGAGATGTTTGGAACTAAATTTTTGTTTGTGTTACTTTTAAGTCGCTGGATGGACTAGAATGGCATAGCTCATACTCTGAAATTCCATTTGCTTCAATTTGATGATCTTTCTTATTGGAGTATTCTCATTTCTATTGCCATCAACTATCCATGTAATGCAGGCATGAAGGAAAACTTATAGAGTTAGTAGTTCGAAGAGTTCTGGTTAGCCTGAAGCTGCACCATCTGAATGTAACTGACCAGTTAATTGCAATTGACGATGACGTGGATAAACTGATGAGAATGCTGAATGTGGGTTCCAAGGATGTAAGGATCATTGGAATTCATGGAATGGGTGGCATTGGCAAGACCACCCTTGCCAAGGTTGTTTACAACCAGCTTTCAAGTTGTTTTGAGAGCTGTAGCTTCCTTGCAGAAGTACGAGAAACATCACAGAACAAGGGTCTCGAATTTTTGCAGAATCGACTTATCTCAGAGATCCTTAAAAATAAGGGTCCAGAAATTACTATTGTTGATGATGGCATCAACACAATCAAAAAGAGATTCTCTGGTAAGGAAGTTCTTATCCTTCTTGACGATATTGACGAGAGAGCTCAGTTAAATGCGCTTGCGGGAAGGCGCAGTTGGTTTGGTCCAGGTAGTAGGATTATTATTACAACCAGAAACAAAGATGTGCTCAATGTACCTGAAGTGGATTGGGCATATGAACTGGAAAAGATGGATGGAGATCAGTCCATTCAACTTTTCAGTAGACATGCGTTCAGAAGAGACTGTCCGCCTGATGATTATTTGGCTTACTCAAAAAAGGTTGTCGACATCACCGAAGGCCTTCCTTTAGCTCTTGTGATTATAGGTTCATTTCTGTCTGGGAAAACAAAAAAAGTTTGGGAAGACACGTTGAAGAAGTTGGAAAAAGTTCCTCGCCATGAAGTTGAGAAAACGTTGAGGATAAGCTACAATGCTCTAGATCACTGGCAGAAGCAGATATTTCTTGACATAGCATGTCTGTTCATTGGATTTGACAAGAGAATTGTAGTTCACTTATGGGACGACACTAATTTTTTCCCAGAGGAAGGTATTGAAGTCCTTCGTCTCATGTCTTTGATAAAGATTGGTGATGACAACAAGCTGTGGATGCACGGCCAGCTTAGAGACCTCGGTCGAGAAATAGTTCGACAAGAAAGTTACATGGAATTCGGGAGGCGCAGTAGATTATGGAACCATGAGGAATCATTGCACACATTAATAAATGACACGGTAAAAAAATTTCCTCTTTGACCATTACCGAAAGGAAATAACCATTCATTTTAGGTGCTTACTCACTTTGCTTGCATAATGTCGAATGCTGTTTTTAGCTTTTATTAATGGCCTCTATAAAATTCTCTAAGCTAGGAGCAAGCTATTTTGCTGATCTATACCTAGACTTATCGTGTCTTTTGTCCTTAATATGTTACATGTTGCATTTGTAGGGTACTGAAATGGTTCAAGCCCTCTGTCCTAAGTTTGATAGCAAGTCGCCTTACGACCTCACTCAAGTTGGATTTTCATGTCTATCGAACTTAAGGTTCCTCCAGGTCAATGGCGTGAACCTTGCTGGTAATTTTGAAAATCTTCTACCACAGTTAAGGTGGCTTTGTTGGCATTATTGCCCTTCAAAATTCTTGCCTACCAATTTTTATCTGAGGAATCTAGTCATACTTGATCTCTCTTGGAGCAATATCAGTGAAGATTGGGTGGGCTGGCATCAAATCAAGGTAGGACATGCTTTATGACTCCCGTGATCTTATTCGTGGCTCCATATTTCAGTATACCTATGTTTTTATCGATCTCACTGTTTTTATTCTTGCAGATGTCGAAGAACCTGAAGGTTCTTAATCTTACGGGATGTACGTGCTTATCCAGGAACCCTGATTTTTCTCCCTATGAAGCTCTCGAGATATTGATTCTTGAAGGCTGTGAAAGTTTAGTGGGAATCGATGCATCCATTGGTAGCTTAAAACATCTTGTTTCATTAAACATGAAGGACTGCCATTCGATCCAAGAGTTGCCTGAAAAGTTGGGCTCTATGGAAGCTTTGACAGAGCTCATTGTTGATGGAACCTCAGTACAAGAAATTTTTATCATGCCCGGAGGTATGAAGAAGCTCAAAACTCTCAGCGCCTGTGATTGCAAGTCATTGACCCAAATTAGGAGCTCAATCAGCCAGCTGGAATCTCTCACATACCTCGCATTAGATAATGCAAAAATCACTCATCTCCCAGACTCTATTGGAGAGTTAGTGAAACTTGAACGCTTATCTCTGAAAGGTTGCAGGTCAATAAACAAACTTCCAGACACCATCGGGCAACTAGAGTCATTGGTGGAGCTGGATCTATCCAGCACGGGGATGACTCAGTTGCCCGATTCGATGAGGGAACTCAGAAACCTGAAAGTGTTGAATGTCGAGGGAAGTTACATAGAGCATATACCAGTTGCTGTTGGGATGCTGGAAAAGCTTGAGGAGATACATGCCAAGGATTGCTACCTGGAGGGTGACATTCCTAATGATATAGGGGAACTTGCATATCTGAGAATCTTGAGCTTATCAAAAAATCGCATTCATAGTTTACCAGAAACCATTTGCAAACTCTCTCATCTGCAGACCCTTGATTTGGAGTCATGCAAAGAGCTTAAGGGGCTTCCAGAGCTTCCTAGTAGTTTGATTGATTTACGAGTTAGTTCTCAGCCGATGGAGAAAATACCAGATCTCTCCAATCTGATTAATCTGAGGTATTTGTATTTGTCTGACGGCTCTCACCAGCAGGATCCCACCAGTGACCCAAGCAAGCTGGTTCAAGATCCTAATCCCATGTGGCTTGGAATGTTATCCAAATTGGAGACATTGCAGCTTTCCCTTTCGAAAATCACTGCATTACCAGCTAATCTGGGTTCGCTTTATCGACTCAAGAAATTGGTATTGTCCTGTGTAGATCTGCAATCCTTTGTTCAACTTCCCTCTAGCTTATCTACACTATATATAGGGAACTGCAGGTCTATGAAAATTGTTCCTGATCTTTCAAACTTGAGAAATCTGTCAGAATTGGAGCTCCTTCACTCGGCTATATCAGAGATTCGGGGCCTTGAAGGTTTGGAGTCGCTTCACGTTTTCGATGTGATATACTGCAAATTGAAAAAGCTTGATGGGCTTGAACGGTTAGAATCCCTGAGGCGCTTGGTTCTACGTAACTGTGAGTCCCTTGACAGATTACCCAATCTCTCAAACTTGAAGAAGCTGAAAGAATTTAAGCTGCGAGACTGTGAGAAGTTGCTCGAGATCCAAGGACTTGATAAATTGGAGTCATTGGAAGAACTGCAGATTTCCGAATGCAGATCCATTGGGAGTTTACCTGATTTGTCGAACTTGAAAAAGATGAAAATTCTGGAAATTAAGAATTGTGATAAGATCAAGGATATTGGAGGGCTTGACAGATTAGAATCCCTGGAGAAATTGCAGATTTCAGGGTGCAGATCCTTGGAGAGACTACCAAACTTGTCAAACTTGAAGAAGCTGAAAGACTTGGAGATCAAGAGTTGCAAGAAGATAAGCGACATTGAAGGCTTTGGCCAATTGGAGTCCTTGGAGGACTTGAGGATTATTGACTGCAAATCTTTGGAAAAGTTACCGGACCTATCGAACTTCAAAAGCCTGAAATCTCTGCACATTGAAGAATGTGAAAAGATACGTGAAATTGTAGGTGTTGCGATCCTGAGATTCATCAAATTAAGGAATGGTAAGCTTTTTGTACGGGAAAATTGGCAAGACTAAAGAAATTAAATGTTACTTTTTTTTTTCTTTTGTAATAGTGTCCTCCATATTTGTACAGCTATAGATGCCAAAGGACAGTTGACGAAATTATTTTACTGTATAAAGTCTGATGTGCTAATAAGATTTCCTTTCTTTTCTCAGTGGTTCATGTGAAATTTTCTCTTGCAGTTCCCTGTTATACATAATCAGAGTAATGGAGTTAAAAGCTCAATGCATGAACCTGCTTGTATCTATCAGCACTTAGCAGTGTAATGATTTATCTTTGCATAGCTATATGGCTCTGAGTTTGTGACACTAGAAAGTAAATAGAATAGTTACCGCATAATCTCCTATACTCTATGTTGATTCTTCTCTTTAATTTCAACAGTGCAAATCATGCAGACTGTGTCAAATAAATCAGCTCAAGAATTATGTACTCGATGTTTACAAATAGTGCAAATTCTTCTCAGGATTTGCTTTTGCATCTCTGATATTCCAGCATAATCTGGACACTGGATCACAAAATTCACGTCAAGTGGTCCTCAAGTCGAGTTTTCTCTTACTGTGAGTTTTGAGTACTGATGAAGGGTCAATTGCTATTTCAAGTCCGAGCTTTTAAAGAGAATCGAAGCAGACAAAGTGATCAGTTGATGGCAATACCAATCCGGTTATCATGTACTATTGACTGTCAGGGCAACTTCAAATTTAACTCTTCGCACACTAAAGAGTTATCCCGTGCATATTTCATCTCTTGTGATGAACATGTCACATTAGTTCTACGGGATTTAGCAATAAGAGACTTTCTCCAGATAGAACCTGGAATCACAGCATTTCCAACTTGGCACCCCAAAGTCAAGCAAGCCTGTATTGTATCTTAAGTGGACCATATAAAGAGGGGTCTTCTTAGAACCCCAAATGGCAGATCTAGCAACTTGCTACTTTAGTCTTTTTTCTGGTGCAAGTCTAGTTCCATATAGTTCCTTTTACAAGGCAATTATATTAGGTTTAGCATCCCATTGCTTGCAAACTTTTTTCTTATTAATGAAATAAGACACCATACAAGACCGAAACGAGAAAGAATGAAGCGAGGATAAAAGAAGACCAGTTTGATAGGTTTGGGTGAGAAGCCATTCTATTTACTCCTCGAGTCGGGCCCATCTACGCTCGCTCTCTTCCTTTCTTATCAGTCTGAAGTGGCTAGTCTTCAACATCCAGGTCATGCTCGTTAACTTGCACTTGTGAGAGTTGTATAGTAGATATTGCAATTCCATGAAATATCCAGATTGTTCAATGTGCAAAATGGAAATCCGGGGTTCCACGCACTGCTGCGAAGAATGCAAACTTTTCCTCCACAAGTCGTGTCCTGAATTGCCTTTACAGATACAACATCCCTGTCAATTAAAGCAACCTCTCCTTCGAGTGGTGCCAGGCCTCTCACTAGTGCGATGCTCGGCAAGGGTATAACGGTTGGCCCTTTTGCTGCAAATCATGCGACCTAGATCTTCCCATGAACTGTGCGATTGCAGTTCCGCCAGTTAACTTTTTCTAGCATGGCAGGGCCATATTTTCTTCAAATTTAGCAATGGTAAGCCGCCCACACAGGAGAAGAGGCCAGATTGAAGAACTCGACCGTCTTTTTAAAGATTGTCCTCTCCACTTTTGTACACCCAGAGATGCAACAAGATAGTTCCCGTGATAAAATTATTTTACTATACAAAGCAGGAGCTAATAAGATTTCCCTTCTGAGTAGTGTCATATATAAGCACAATGATGAAGTTTAGAGCTCAATATATTAGCATATCCTCTTGTATCCATCCACACTTACCACTGTAATGATTCATCTATGCTGCTATATGATTTTGAGTTCATGACACTCGAAAATAGATAGAACTATTGCAGCAAGTTCTCCATTAGTCCTAGCTACTTAATTTCATCAACGCGTCTGATGCAGACTCTGTCAAATGAATAAGCTCAAGAATTACATATTTGCATGCTTACATGCACACACAGATTCTTCTCAACATTTAGTTTTGCATCTCCGATTCCAGTTCCAGCATAATCTGGATACTGGATCACAAAATTCATGTCAGGCAGTCATGGAGCCAGGTGCTTTCTTACTTCAACCGAGATTATCAATTAAGTATCGATCAATTGTCCCATCTAGGAGAACTTTCATGCCACAAAATTAAAGAGACGATACGGCTGCGATTGATGACACATTCGATTTCGGTCGAACTTCACAATTCAACCACGCGAACAATAGGCCAACAATAAGAAACTCGCAACCGGTGCTCACGCAGTAGAAATCCCAAGAGGCCTTGATGACTGAATTGCTACGCTTCATGAAGCACATATTTTCGCCATGGAACAGTCTGAGATAAATACATTTTCATTTCCATTCAACTGAAGAGCAACTCTCACACCTGCTCGAGAAGGCAACACTCCCCAAAAATGCCATATTGAACGTAAGAGGTCAAAGTATTATAAAACTAATTACATAAGCAAAAACAAGGTGCCCAAACTCCTCCCAATTCCATTACCAAAGCACTTCAGAGGAATACCCAACAGAGCCATTTCATCAAACACATGAAGCACGCTACGCACCGTTAGTAAGCACTCGCCTCTAATCACCGGAATCCTTGTTGCGTAGCCTGTAGATGATGCGCCCTCGGGTGGAGTCGTAGCGGCTCACTTCGATCTTGACCTTATCCCCGGGCAACATCCGGATGAAATTCTTCCTGATCTTCCCGGAGATGTAGCCGAGAATCACGTCCTCGTTGTCCAGGCGGACGCGGAACATGCCGTTGGGCAGCGACTCGACGATGACCCCCTCGTGGGTCCACTTCTGCTCCTTCATCCCCTGCGACACCTTCTTCTTGGCGCAGAGGGCCACGACGGGCCGCGGGGCGATGGACCGGGAGAGGCACGGCGGCGGCGGAGGAGGAGAGTCGTGGGGCCGGAGCGGCTTGAAGAGAGCGGCGGGAGGAGGGGTGTGGAAGAGAAGCTTGCTGCCGCTGCTGCTGCTGACGGCGGCGGCGGCGGTGGGTATGCGAAGGCGTGCGTGGGGCGTGTTGGGGGTGTGGAAGAGAGCGAAAGACATGGCTGAACAGCGAAGTGAAGGGATGGGAAGGGCTTCTACAGGAGGAAGAAGACGATGTGCGGAGCTCTCTGTTCAGCTCCTCATCCTCTCCGAGGCGTGTCTGAACGTGAGACTGGTTTTGAGTCGAACGATGATCTCCTATCCTCTCGGCCTCAAAGTTCGAGAGGGGCAATCGCCTGCGCTCCGGTTCCATGAACCTACCCGGGAACCGGACCGGACCGGCGGTCTAGTTCCCGGGTGGATTCATATAACCAACAAGCGGCTCTCGATTCTAATTTTTCTGAACCAGTTCTGAGTGGGCGATTCCCAGTTCTAAGATGAGAACCGCCTATCCGGACCATGCTCACCTCTGATTTTGGTACATTTCTTTATCAAATAGTAGGGGATAATTCCATCAGAAATCAAAACATTATTTCGTTTCATCAATATTCCTATACTTACACTGGTGATCCAAAAATGGCTTCCGTTAGACTTGCGTTTTTTTATGGCCGTCAAAAATCCGAAGCCGCGGCATATATGGATAATGTCAATCAAACAAATTTGATGTGACAATGACACATACTGTAACATCAATCAGGAGCATAGTTACATCGGATTTTTAACGGTCACGAACGACGCCACGGTGGATTTTCAACGGTCATATGGACGAAAGGTACTTTTAAATTGTGTTTATAATCACCGTTAAAAATCCGAAGCAGCATTACATATGGATAATGTCAATCAAACGAATTTGATGTGACAATGGACGCATAGTGTAACATCAATCAAGAGCGTAGTTACATCAGATTTTTAACCGGGCACGCACGATGCCACGGTGGATTTTCAACGGTCATATTGACGGAAGGTGCTTTTGAGTTGTTAATACGAGTTTGAGGGTATTGATGAGACGGTAGGAAGACCGGGGAATTTGTGTTCCACGAGGAAAACTTTATAATTTTTTGTGAGATTACTCCTAAATAATGAGGTGGCTGGTGCCCAGTGATAGTTGGCGACCGACTAGTCCCCCATCAAGTGTGCAATCAAGTTCTCTTGCAATCAAAATATAATCGAAACTCACATATAGACTTAATCATGAACCTGGCGACACGCGGGCTCATAGGCCCAACTCAAGTCATAAAGGCCCATAGACAATTTTCGCGAGCTTGGGCAAGAGCGGTTAATGAGAAAGCCCAGCCCAGCCCAACCCGATCGGATCTCGACCAAGCCCGACCATGCCGGAAGAATCGTATTTCATAAATAAGACTTAGGTGATGGGCAAAGCATAGGCAGAAATTAAGGCCAGCTCAATGATCACCACTACATATTATTGTGGCTCTAAGAAAAAGCGTAACTATAGCGATTCGAATCGAAACATTGAAGGATGAACATGAACACGCTGTTACTTAAGTAACCTTGGGTTGTTTTCATATATGCCCTTTTGTAGAACGTTCCATTCTCGTCCTTCCAGAATGATTAAGCGAAATTGGCCTATTTGAGGGTGGATGCTTATCTCGACGTCATCCATAATTATCGACTCAATTATGGCCATCGATCATTTAAGGTGAGTCGTGCAAAAATCGAACGGTTGTGATTACACACGGTTCAAGAATTAAAGTACAGAAAACTTAATTTTCCTATTGAAAAATTAACTAATAGGCCATTCAAAAAGTCTTGACCAAGATAATCAATAGGTCTGTACAAGTGAAATTGAATAAAAGTGTAAAAGGTATCAAATTTGAACCCTTACTAATTGAGAAAACAACACGAACATAAATCAAAGAACCAAATCTATGGTTACGTGGCGTTGCGCAGACTAGGGTGGAGTTGGGATTTGGATTTGGAGCTTTCGGGCGAACCTATAACTATAATTTGAGAAATCACCACTCAATTTGATTTCTACTGAAAATTTTTTTTCACTTACACAGTGTCTTAATAACGACCACCGACTAATTCCCAAATCAATAAATAATATATCTGTGAAAGTTAATACTTAGATAGTAACTCCTGTGGAGTCGCGAACACGCGCTTAGCAATACTTGTGCTAATTTCTCTAAATCTAGAGATCTTTTTATTCTTTTGTAGAATAATTGCATATATAATTATCCCTAATTTTAGAGGATCCCTATCTTTGATAGTAAATAAGATAGGGATTTCTGAAATTTTAGTGGTTGGGCCACGAGCGATGGTTCGATTTAGGGTCAAGAATTGAAAAGCCCATTACCGTGTGGAAGCCCAAAGAAGCCCACGGTCTCATTAATAGAGACATGCACAGAAAATGCAATGCAATTGCAAGGGCTGCCACTTTTCCTCCCGTGCATGCTTTTGACTATATGATATGAGATGCCTTGCAAGAGAAAAAAGATTAAATTTGTATAGTGAGAATATTTAATATATCATATTTTTCGAAGGCCTAAGATCAGTGCGTGACAAGAAAAGATGCTATTATGTAAAGTTTGGACAATATATTTCGACGAAATTGGAGGGGAGAGATGGTAGAGGAGGGTTTGATCAAATACCTCTCGGCTTGGATTGGATAAGCGCGACGTGAAATCCACATGATTCATGTGTGTGAGGAGCGTTTCACAAGGACCGAGGTAAGCTGTCATTAACCCTCGACAATGTTCAATGTGATGGGAAAGTATGAAAGTTTTGACATTTGAAATCGGCCCGATGGCTTTGACTTGACGCTCGCAATTAGCGGAAAACCTTTTTTGTTTTTACAAATAATTACAAGTAAAGCCAATGAAAGGGAGGGGTAGATTCGGCATCAGGTCTAAAGTTTCTTGCCTATGCCAATTTATGGTTAGAAAAAATACACACCTTATGTAAAATCAATCAAATCAGGATTGAAGAATTAAATAGACATGACTAGTCAAAACTCGATGATTTTGCATATCTAATCGATTGGGATTGCTTGATCGTAGTGAGCCCCATGCCCACAATCATTTCAATGTGACAAAAAATTAGGCAGTTCTAACAGTTATAATCAGCCAAATGACTTTGACTTGAAGCTAGCAATTAGCATAAAAACTTTTGTTTTAAATAGTTACAAACTTCGATTGATTGAATTTGTATCAAGTAAAACTTCACGAATGGGAGGGGCAGCTTCGGCGTCGGGTCTGAAAATTTCTTTCCCGGACCAATTCACGATTAAGAAATAGACGTTTCGCGTGTGATCAATCAAAATCTAATCGAATTCGAGACGCAATCGATCGTAGCGGGCCACCACGCCCATGATTGTTTCGAGAATAAACTTCACGAGCATCTCGACGTACACGTGTGGGGCCCACTCTTTTTAATGCTTCGCTAGCATCTTTTTCAAAACGCTCATGGGAATGTAATCCCCAAATAATTGCAGCTCCATTTTAATAAACGAAATCACATGCAATCCAGCTGCTAACTCCAATCTATTGAAATGGCTTTGGGCAACAGATCCAACTCATTTCCCACGTTTTTGCTCTCTTCATCTACTCTCCACCGTTGATTTGTCCGCCCACGTTCATACACGAGGGAGATTATCTAGTCATATCCCTTTTGTTATCCTCCTATAAAGTGTCTTTTCATCGCTCTGTCGAAGATTTCTGTCGATGTCGAGATCGAACCAAGCTAATGATTAGTAGTTTCAATCGACCCACCAATAAGTTGCTATTGAGGACATGCAACAGAGGAACAACTCAATGCAGCTCAGCGATCCTTTATCGTCATACGATTCGAGTCATTTTCGATGGCTATATTCAACTAACATTCGAAACGAAGTTGGGTACTTGTCAAAACAAATGATGGACAAGTAGATTGTCGTTTGTTATCATAGCTTACGAAAGAAAAAATTTGTCGATGAATGTGATGGCTTAAATTCACGTCGAAAGGCGCGCGATTGAGATACACCAACTCTCTCCTACCTTCACTCCCAACTCTAATTTCTTACTTATAATTTTACGACAACTTTCTTGCTCAATGTCCGAGGGATCTAACTTGAGTGTGAGCGAGTGATCGAAAAATATGGGCTAATTCCAAAAAGAGGCACAAACTTGATCTTGAGTGACGGCCCAAACTTTTTTTGTCTTAATAAAAAAGCATCAACTTTTACTCTAGTCCCAAATCTGACCCTCCGTGATATGAAATTTTCAAATTATCCGTGCCAGATTTGAGATTTAAGTAAAAGTATGTGATTTTTCATGAAAAAAAAAAAATAGCTTAAGCCAGAATTGTAACTCAAAATAAAATTTGTGCTTTTTTTTGGAATTGGGCCCGAAAAATATTGAGGGCTTAGTTGGAGAGATTTAGGAAAGAAAACTCGAAGAGAAATTTAAAAAAAAAACATTAAGATTTTATTTCTCAGTTTTTTCAAAATTTTCACAATTTTCCACTCAAAATTTTCGTTCTTCATGTTTTAAAAGATAGCATCAACGTGGTCAATGGTTTGAATGGAGGATAGGCAATGAATTAGGTGGTGTCCAACTTACACCCAAACAAAAGGAGTCTTGTTAGAGAGCTCTCCAACACGCTTATTAATTTTAAAAAAAAATTCAAATTTTCAAGAGAATTCAAATATGGGTCCGAACTCGATATATAATGCACCGTGCGCACATTATAATGAATATACAATACATCAAAAATCACAAAAAAAAAAAGAAGCATTCTCAACTCGATAAATAAGGAGCATCGGTAGTTGCCATTCGAGAAATAAATTGCACATGTGGTCCTGTGCCTTTTTTTTCCTTCTCTTCTTTTCCTTTGTCTTTTTCCCCCACGATTTCAACGAAAGGACGCGCCGAAAAGAGACGAAAGGACGACTCCTTCCCCCTCTCCTTATCACATGGCCTTCGTCTTGATAAGTACTCCCAACTTTTTCCCTGGTCCTCTCTCTCTCTGATACCTTACTACACCCGTGGTGGGGCCCGCCCAGGGACCGGACCGGTCCAGTCAACATCGGAGACAGGCTGTCATTGTTGGGGGTGGGGGGGCCCCTCCATCGCGACCGTCCAATGTGAACCCCGGGCGACGTGGGGCGGGGTGTGGGGGCCCCGCCACGTGGCTCTGCCTCCCGCCTACCCCCGAGCCGCGGGCCCCACGGGTGTCCTGTCCAATCAGCGTGAAAGATGGTCGGGTCGGGAGGAAGGGGCGGTGGGTGGAGAAGGTACGATTTCTTCGTACCCCTCTCTCTCCCTCCCTCGTGGGAGAAAAGGGGGGGACGATAAGGC